GCGCGCACACACACATGCGCGCACACACAACATAGCGTCCCATGCGCCGCGCGCAGCACACACACACACACCACACACACACACACACACACACACACACACACACACACACACGCGCGCACACACAACACACACACACGTAACACACACACAACATTACGCTACGTACGCACGCACGCGCCTACACACGCCAGCAACTATGGTCCAACCATGTGCATGCACGAATGCATGCCGACTTCGGCAGCAAGTATATGTTTACTAGAAATGTAACAAGCTTAGCAGACAATATAGTGTCACACTCTTCATGATAGTCATGAAGTAAGTTCCCAAGCTACATTAGCTAAGGGGCTGTGGAAGCCAGAACTAATGTTTAAACATGTAATGTGCGGCATGTCGACGTAATGTAATGTAAATGTAGCTAAGGTATTCCCATATAGCGTTTTTTCTACGATGAACGCGAATTTCGAATTTCGAATAAGCTTTCGAGGCTTTCGCTTATAGCAAGCATTTTGTAATACATAGTTCCTCTCCCCCCCGTTTTCTTAGGGGCTAGAGAAGTCCACGCTGTGCGCCATTGTATCCTACGTTTTTTACACATGCTTGTCTGAGATGCTTGAAGCGCGAAATAACATGAAAAATTGCTTCAACGCCGGTTCCGTCATTCTGGCCATGATATGATCAAAGCTACTAATACAGGTCTCAATTAGCTATTATGTGACATGCAATAATGTTCTGACTGCGCACTGAACCTGGTTCCGATCTTAACGAATTGCGTCCGCTTTACAGGTTTCACTATAGAGTAACATAATATTATGTTCAACGCCGCATTTGTGTGAAGCATTCAATGTTCTAATATTTCATGCCACCAAAAATCACATCTGGTCTTTTAAAGCTTTTAAAACCGGCGCGATCCCTCTTTTTATTTTATCACGGACCCTAAATATATACAGTCGTAGCAAGCCTAAAATTGGCATTAGGAATACAACACAGTAATCGTTATACACGTTATAGGTGCTGCTATACTGGCGCAGACTGCAGGCAGTATATCCAAACAGATGTGTGAGGAAATTGTATCCCATCCTAATGTGAAAGCCGATAACGTTCCATTGATCGCAAAATATTCCAGGAAAGTTCAGAAGTATAAGCTTGAGAGAATAACGCCGAGAGAAGCGTAATAGGCTTATACATACTGGGTGTACACGTACAAAAAACTGATGTAGGGAAGTAATAGGAGCAGTTCTGTCGAATATTGCATAGGAAATTTGCTTGACTTTAGGTTATGAAGCCACACGATGATGGATCGAACACACATGTACAATCGACGTCGAGGCGAAGAATCGACGTGTTATAAATAATATCAGTGAAGATCAGAAATGAGGCGTCAAAGCAGATTGCGAGGGCAAGAATTGACACTCCAGCACATCTAAGGTGTAGCAGAGGACATGGTAGGGAATAACTTTAATAGGTTATAACGTAGAGCGGGTCGGTGGTCAGGCAAGGTCAGGGATTACAGGAAAATCCGACTGATTTAAGTTTGTTAACATCGCCTATGTGTCGCGTGCTAGGATTACCGAAACCCAAAACAAATATAAAATGCGTTACTGCCGTCAAAGGATACTGTATGTGAAAATCTTAAAATGAATACGTGGTGTGTATGAGTTATTGTTCGCCTCATCGTACTAGTAAACTGTCGTACTACACATACACCACGAGTTAAAGGATCGCATTTACTTTTGTCGCCACTAAACCGAACCACAAATGCATATAATTAAATCGCAAACGCAAACGCGTTAGATACACGCCAGCCACTTAACGGAACTGTAATCTAACCTATAAGCAGCAAAACGTGAAGCTCACATGACGGGGTTTGCTCGCGTAAGCAAGCGCATCGTTATGGCGCTGTGCTGACATCTTGCGCGTCACCATTGATGTAGGCGATGATGCGTGAGACGCATGCTTTTACGCTGCGAGCGTGTAAAGCAGCGATAATGTGCCCACGTCGCCCTCTCCGCGCCAGTTTTACAATCGTGTACTATACGCCCTCTATAAATATTCCAAGACACTCATTAAGATTCGTGTCTATAGTAATAACACACGGCAGTTCCTCCATTAGCGCTTGTGCCAAATAGGATAGTGTGACTTGGGCGACACGTCCTTCACTAACATTAGCCCGCGTTGGACCTAACTACCTGCAAAGTATTTTTTCCCCACTTCTTTGCAAACCATATCGATTTCACTGCAGCCAGCACTTTTAGTAAAATGGCGGATCGGACGAGCCTGTTGAGCAACGGTTTCTAAATTTATATATATATATATAGGGTGTACAGATTGCGCATACGTTTCTGAAAACCTTGTAAAGCCACACACTGGCGTGCCTTCTTACTCACGCCGTCTGGCGCGCGCAGCCCAGTGTCTCAATCTTCATGTCCTCCCTCGCTCGCGTCTCTCTCTCTGACCTCTTTTTATATCTCTCCGCGTTCTCCTCCCTCGCTCTCATTCT